GCTCAGTGCTAAGATTACATAAAGGCATTGGTTTATATACTGTGTGTGAGGTGTATGTATATATATGTGCATATGTATGTGCAGGTGTGTGCATACATGTGTACACAAGTTTGTCAAGGCCAGACTTTGAAGATGGGGTCTTCCTATATTATTCTTCATTTTCTTTTGAGATACAGTCCATCACTAAGTTGAGCTCAACACTAGTCTGGCAAGTGAACTTCAGGAGTCCTCTGGTCTTCATCTCCTCAGCACTAGGGCTGCAGACACAGAACAACACTCTAAGCTTTTTACCTGTATTCTGGGGATGTGAAATCTGGTTCTTATGCTTGTAAAGCAGGAAGTGTACATACTGAGCCATCTCTTCAGTCCTGTGTCATGATTTTGATTGATTATTTTCTAATAAACACAAAGCATTTCTGCATTTAAAAATATGCATCTACAATAAGATTTTTTTATTTTATGTGAAAGTGTGTCATGCCTGAGTGTATGAATTGCACCCTCATCATGAGGTGGCTGCAGAGGACAGAAGAGGGCATCTGATGGCCTAAAATTAGCGTTATACAGAGGTTAACGTTAGCTGCCATGTGGTGCTGGGATTCAAACCTGGGCCTTCTGCAGAAACAGCCAATGCTTTTAGCCATTGAGCCATCCCTCCAGCCACTAAGAGAAAAAATTTAATGCCATATGTAATAACTGACCACAAACATACATATATTTAAATATATGCATATATATAATCTGTACAGTTAAGAATTCCCATAGAGTTGTACATAAGTTATTTACACAGTACTTTTTCTTTTCTCTCATCCCTTTCTTCTTTCTTCCTTCCTTCCTTCTTTCCTATGAAAATAGAAGCAACAATTGTGAAAATGCCTTTGCCACAGGCTACGAATGTCTGAAGAGCTCTGGTTCTTGATTCCTTCCTATCTCTTCTAAATAAAGCCCCCTAGAAGCTATACATGAGCACTGATAATATGTCTGAAAGTGAGAGGAGACCCTCAAGATGGATCAAATTGACTGGCCTGTTTACCATTCTTTACCCAGTTTCTACCATCAGTGCTACAAAAGGCACTACGATGAGTAACTGATGCTATCCCATTTCCAAGGACCTGCTCCTACTCTTCAAGAGATCTGCCTTGTTTCTCTTCACCTCCCACCTGTGAATCTATAATAACATTTCTTTATAACTCATCTTCTCATTGTCTGTG